GCAACATTAATTCGGTTATTTTCTTGTTTATTACTGTGAAGCTGCTTTGAAACAATCTGTATATCGTGCATCTCAGGTCTTACCGTGTCCATTTTGTCTATGGGCGTCCGTGGTTCTCCTGCACTGCTTTTACTGAGCATGTTGCAGGGTGACATGGGCCTAGAGTTCGTCAACAGGGCAGCAGTACCAAGGATGGGTTCGTCATCATCAGAATCAGGAAGCGGGGTAGGGCTGATGTCCTCCAGGCCGGTGCTTGACGGCCGCGAGAGCCGTTGGGGCGGGATGGGGGAGAGCTGCGAGGACGATGAGGAGATCGGGCTCCCGTCCATGCGCACCTCAGCGTCCGAGTCTCCACGCTCGTTCAGGAAGGGCTTAAGGAGCATTTCTATGCGGGAGTCCAGGCTGTTGCGTTTGGACTCTTGGGTGGGGGTGCCCAGCGATGGGCAGGGCTCTGGCGTGGAGGGAGGAGGTGTAGCTGGTTGGGTTTCTGGCGCAGGGGGAGGCTCGGGGATTGGTGGCGTAGCAGGCCTGTCTCTGACGGGCATGAAGTCGGGGCTCGGGGGAGGTGGGGCTTGAGGCGGTCTCCTATAATCCACTTCCCGCTGAACAGGCTGGTGGAAAGAGGGCTCTGTGTGAGGGTAGACTGGGGGCATTGGCGGCTGATAAGGAGAGTAAGCAGTTTTGAAATTCGCACTGGCTGGTGGCGGTGGCGTGTGCGCAAAAACAGGCGACGGAGGCTCGGGCGGCTGATGTTGCTTAAAACTAGGTGGTTGCTCTGCGTTGCCACGGTGCGCCCCTCCTGTGCCGTGGACGTAGTGTCTTTCGGGTCTGCGGTTGTAGGCGTCCTGGAATTTGGTTTCATGTCTCCTCGCCTTGTAGCCTCCCGAGGATTCCACACGGTTCGGTTGAAACGCCGGTGTGCCCTGCCTGCTGGAGTAGCTGGAGTCCTGAGAGAACGGGGTGCCTGACGGGCGTGGGGTTTGCGGGGTACCCTGGGACTGTGGCGTATCCTGCCTTAGGCTGGAGTAGGCCGTATCGAGGGACATGGGCGTGTTGGTGCCACCTGGCGTGGCTGTGCCCGCAACTGCAGAAGAACTGCCTTCGAGGGATCTTCGCGAGGGCTCGCATGCCTGCGGACACAAAAGTGTCCAACTTAAACATGTTTGTTTCTGAATTTCACAGTGCAAACAAAAGCACAGACCAGTTCTAATGGCATTAACAATTAACATGCAAATCAAATACATTTTATGAACACTAGTTAATGGCAATCTCTGTTTTCACTGTGAGATAATGGCCAGAACTGAGGGGGAACCGTTCAAAGTGCAATAATAGCGTGCAGCTCTCTGGTGGGAGCAGTTATTAGGTACGTTTCAGTTGGTGTCCATTTAACCACCTGCTGAACTGATAAACTGGATTAGAGATAAAGACTTTCTGCTGGAGAGGGACTCACAGCATGTTATACAGTGTGCTGGTGTAAAACACAAAACTACAGTAAGAAACTACAGTAAACACTTTGTATGTCAAGCTTCCCTCTCTTCAACTGATGAGAAAATCTACATTGCATCTTAAATGGTTTTTAAATTTTAAATCATTCAATTGGTCTATGGAGGATTAAACTATGATATTTAGAAATATATGTATATATATATATATAATATGGGCATTTGTAGTTAAAAAAAATACAGTCTAACTTTTTTGTAGTAAATTGAATCAGTTAATAGATTTTGAACTGTTTTTTTTTTAAAGCCAAAGCTACTTCAGGACAGCACATTTATACAGCTCTGTTCATGCCGGAAAAAAATTAAACAGTCTTTAACTTTGTTTTGAAGTAAAATCTTAAGTGTTCCAATATTTTCTATAATTAATGTCACATGTAATGGCATATTGTTTGCTTTTTACCAGCAGGGCTTCAGACAAGCTGTGTGGAGAAACTTCACAGGCTTCTTCACCACCAACTGGAAGAGTGAGCGGAGTATAACTTCCATTGATCAGACGCTGGAAGTACCTTTGGCGATTTTCACCTAAAATGATGGATGAGAACACACATTACTGTGGTGAACATGATCACTGACACACAATGTGGGCTACATCTAAAAGAAATACACACATTTTATTCATTAGAAAGGAAGAAAAAGAAAGAAAGAAAGAAAGAAAGAAAGAAAGAAAGAAAGAAAGAAAGAAAGAAAGAAAGAAAGAAAGAAAGAAAGAAAGAAAGAAAATGTTGTTACAAGAGCATTATTATTAATTGTCCCTTTCACAAGAAAAGTGCTATTGCCAAATACTATTGACAAGTAATCTCACTTGAAAACAGTTATTATACTAAAACAATTAAATGTTATATAAAATGTTATGTTTTGTATGTTAAAAATAGGCTTATCACTTACATATAAATTATGTATATAAACAATATATTGTATATATGTACACATCAAATAAGAAAATGACAGTATAATGTAAGAAATAACTGCACTTTGTATTCACGTGACTGATGATCACAGATGAAACGGTACTGTCTCTTTAAGAGAACGGAGAGCCCACTACAGCTGTCATCCTGCCTTTAGGATCTCCTTTTTACAAGGTTAATGACGATCCCGTGTGCTTGGCTTTCAGTAACGAGTCTGAACGAAGGGTTTAACATTAAAAATATTTTCAGTTGGACAACTATTGTTCAAGTCGTGGTTAACCAGCTCACATTATCTTCTAAAACATTTGCATTTTACATCTAAATACTTCAGCGGCTGTTTCTCATAATATACTGTGGTAAAAAAAATTGTAATTTTGCTTGTAACTACAGATAAATATTTAGTAAATAGTTCAAATGCATGGTTTTCACGTAAAATGTCAAAGCAAACACTTCAGTAAATCCCTCTGCAGCTGACATGCCGTGTAGTGGTTACCAAGCAACCAACGTAAATGTCCGCACGTGATATGATGCTACAAACAATCTACTCAAAAGTACCAACACACGTGGCATTTTAGTGTAACTCTGTCAGATATTAATAAAGCTATACATCTCCAGTTCAATATTTTCACATTTAATTTAGCTTTACCTTTAGGGTCCAGCTCCACGTGGATGATGTTGCCCATGACAGAAGTGTTGTGCAGGTTCTGGACAGCATCTTTCGCCGACTTGACGGTTCCGAACACAACTTTAGCTATTCCGAGATGCTTTTTGTTCTTCGGGTTGTACAAAATTTCCACCCCCTCAATATCGCCGAACTTCTTGCACATGTCAGTGAGAAATCCCTCTTTGACGTTGTCGTTGAGTTTGGCAAACGTGACCTCCTTCGGGGGCACGCGACCGATGTAACAATCATCGATCTGAGGAAACAAAACGCTTCTTTGAAATGGAACGTTTTTGTTTAAAGTTGTTAAACATAGAACTGCTGTCCTAAACGGTTTAAAAGGAAGCGCGTGTCTCTTAGGTCGTTGAAAACTGACCGTTAAATCAGTTGTTTTTTAATTCAAAAATACATTCGATGTATAAAACGTCCTGTGAACCTCAACCGTCTTGTAGTTGGTTACTTAAAAACACTCAAGACAAATTCACACATGTGTCAGGGGGTGTGACTGAACTACCTTAAATTTAGGCACCGGGAGATCAACCTCCTTGTACTTAGCCCACAGACGAACCATTCTCGGGTCTCGGACGTTCTCCACTGGTGACATCCCGTGGTTCTGTAAACAAAAACACACATTTATGAACACTTTACGCAAGGAAGTGTACTTTACACCGTCCGCTCAAACTGACCGTGTCGCTGTCAACAGAACTAATGCAGCACAACGAGAGCTGGTTTCAGTTGTTTAGTTTGTAAAAAGAGTGGTCAGTAATGAAAGTTTGGCAGCGGTTTGGCACTCTTTGATGTACTGTGTCAGGTGTTTACAACGCCAGTGATATTATATATCCATTCGGCGCGACAATACACGGGTCAATGTATCCGATTCTGGCCGTTGTAACGACTCGTTCCGCTCACCGGCATGCTGAACTGCAGTCCATCGTAGCGATACAGTTTGTGCGATCCCTTTTTCAGCGCTGGGTCAATAATCAACTTGTAACTTCTCCAATGATGATTTCGTTTCTCTCCCGAATTGCAGATAGGATGGTTGTTCTCCATTCCGTTCGCCAAACCTAACGAAGAGATGACAAAAATAAAAAACAGAAAGTACGCTTCATAATACTGACAGCGCAAAGATTGATATTTGCACACAAACAGTACGTTGCAGAAAACGGGGGGTTTGAAGCTGTGCCCGAAACAGACATTACAGAGGAAGAAAAAAAGAGAAAGCTTACTTGAACTCTGTCTTCTACCGTGATCTTCATTTAGCTTATTTCTTTCTCCTGGTCTGGACATATTGTGCCCGATCGAGTAGTTTTATATAAAACGGCTAGATCTTGAACCTTTCGCCGATCACATTACATGATTTTAAAGATACTGCCTCCTTTTTGCGAGCCAACACATATTGTGTGCCTCTAGTCTGGGGTTTCTGTCTCTCCCACAATACACCACTATCTCAACCTTCCGGCACATTCGACACGCACTTTCGATTTATTATTCTTAATAGTTAAGCTAAAGCATTGCTTTTGTGTGACTATTAATAAAACACACACATGGAGTCAAGTGTGATAAACGAGTGGGAAGTTGAAATATCTTAATTTTCGAGCAGTAAAGCGAAGGTTTAGAACGCGTTGAATCTGCACGATAGATTTACATGAACGTTAAATACAAGATGGACATGGAGCAGCAGCGTTGGGGAAGGTTGTTAAAACTGAACTGGGACACGCACTGAAAGCCCAAATGAATTGGTTTAAAAACGAAATGCAGTTTTGCTTTCATATAAACAGTTATTCCGGGATATGTTTTAAGTCATGCATTCAGAATGTGTCAGTAAAATGAACTTTCACGAGGGACCGCCTTTTAAAAGCAAAGTTTTTCTGTGGTGATAATTCTGTTTAAACATCTAATGTTATTTTCTTTTTCTTGTTCTAATACTAGTTGTACATTTTTCAGTCCATTCCCAACATTGTTTGATATTCTGCGGTGCTTGGGCAATTGGCTGGTTAACAGCAGTTCCCTCTCTGGCCAATCAGATTGAAGCACCATGGTAGATTCAGCTATTAGAAGCACAGCCTTCAGTTCTTCCTACAGAGAGCAGAAAGAAGGCTGAATGCAGGCGCAGCCATTTTCTCCTACATTGGGACTCAATGGCCAAAATGGGTTTCCTTTGTTCCAAAAGGGATCTAAATCTTGGTTTCATCAGCCTTTTATGGACTATTTAATACATACAGTGTTTCTGTTTACAGGATCTGAGAAGAAGGAAGATGAAATGTTGGATGGTATCCCTTTGACATTTTTAAGCTTTTTTTCTCTTCCTGGAAACCATCTTTGTCCCAGCAAACTAGGTCATGGCACACCCATATAACAGCATTTTATTCTTTAGTAAAATGCTACTGAATAAACATTTTGCATTTGGTTTTATTATTACTAACTAGAATGTAAAAAGAAAAAAGAAACCCATGAAAATAACCAACTGCTTTTAAGGCCCTGCCTTGTTCAGGGCCAAGCATTAATCAATAAGTAAGTTTATCTTTATTGTCTTTGCTTATTTAGCTGCAAAAATAAATGTTTTATTGTTAATTAAACTGAGGCATTTTATGTATATTGACTGAATTTCTATTTCTTTTTAGCGTTCCCTAAGTGTCATTAGTTTTGAGTCTAGCTTTGTCTTCAGAACATTCAGTTGCATGTTGTTCTTTTTTAAATATCCATTTAAATGGATTGCTTCTCACATTTCAGCAAACAAGGCAGGCCACAGAGAAAAAAAGGACGATTGGCCTTTTACAAAAATGCTGAATCACAGGTATGATTGATAGGGTTTGTGGTTGTTTTAATGCTCATCCTGGTTGTGACTCACTGTTTTTAACCCTACAGCAGTACTGGTATCAAAACACTTTTTTTTTTTTTTTTTTTTTTTTAAGTACATTTATATTTAAAGAAATTGGTGGACTTCACTTCTCTTTCATGGCGTGCAGATTGGGAATAGTGTATTTCTGATTTTACAATGCAATGGAAATCCCTTTGTCAATTAACATTTTCAGTAAGTGAACACTCACTATATATCTGACCTTGTGCCAAGGGCACATTTCATAACACTATTAGTCTCATAACAGTGTATAGTTCACTAGTAGAGATAATGTATAAATAAGACTTTAAACACACATAATTATTAATGCACTAACAAAGATATTTACCTTAACATTTTGTTGAAATAATTCTATCAGGCCTATACGATGAAGAAACAGGAACGTTTTCATTCCCATCGTCTGATCCTTTAACACTGGCTTTAAAGAGGGGGTTGGGTTGCAACGCCTAAAAGGAAGAAAACGACAATAACCATTTTTCCTGCCTTCGTTTTTCGACATAATTCATCATTTAACACACCAATCTGCGCAGTCTCCAACGAGTGGAGCTGCTGGAAATCTTGAGACACTTTTAGATATTGCAATATGCAAACAATCCCTCTTTCTCTTCCTGAAGACAGAATGACAAGAGAAATTCACTCGCTTGCACGTCATCATTCAGAAGAAAGAAAATGTCCTTTTTCTTTCCGAAGGTAATAGTTTATGCGACCTTATTTGACAAAAATGACTTGGGAATACTCTGTTTTAAAAGGTAACATTAAATCATATTTATGTTTCAAACTCATTTGAAAAATTACGAGTATTGTTGTCCTGTGGGGATAATTGTGAGAGAAAAAAAGGTGTAAAAATCATTATTTTAGACACCTCTCATTGCTGACCCATGTCCAAAGCGACCTCAGAACTAGCCTGCTGTTTAATGGCTTCTCTGCTGTTTTCATTTTCAACATGGCGTCTTCACAAGGACATCATTGTGGAAAAGAAAGGTTGCTGCGCCATTTATGGGCGAGGCTGTCGGTCGCCGTTTCAGCTGATTCTGCCTTTATACGTGGCAACCATTGCAAACACAAACTGACTAAATGTGGTCAGAGAGGCTTGCTGTTTCAAAAGCGAGGATATTGCACAAAACTCGCAGTAATATCTCGTGCGTAAAAGGCGCCCTCGACGCTGCTGCGCAAGGCGCTGGAAACCCTGTGGCACAAAAACACACACACAGCGGTAATCTGAGAGTTTGGACGCATGCCACGGGTCCGGGATGTGACTGCACCCACCTAACCATTTAAAGTCGGAGAAAGAATCTCAAACACTGTGTGGCATTTCAATCAGCAAGTACAAAGGGAATATCCAGTCCTCTGTGCTCTCTCGTCCCCCTTTCAGAACATTCGGTGCAGTTTATTCGCCAGCCATTCAGAGGATCATTTGACGTGATGCATTGCAGGATTGCGCACTACTTAGGTTTCTCAGATCTTCTGGTGAATATATCACAGTGTTGCAACACATACCGGTATGTGGTATGCAAATTGTCGTGTTTTGCACAATTTTTGGATATGTAATTTTGTATATGTAGCTTTTTCCACTATTGTGGAGAATGGACATACTTATTACCCAAGCATCTTATCATTGGAATTTGGTTATTGCCTCTGTATTTTTTTCTTTCCCCTTCTTTCTGTGCGTTTGGGGCGATGCCAGGTTCAATTTATTAGCCAGAATGGTATCGCGTAAGGAAACGCACCATCTGTCTTTCGCTTTTAGGATTCACGCTTAGGATTCACGCTTGTTATTGCATGCACACCAATATGATTTTGTCTCTCTGCCATAGTCTAAAATAGGACTGGTGACCGAATATGCCAGAAAAAGGACTGAAGAAGACGTGATGATGACCACATTGTTTCCTGCCACCCAGGGCTGAAGTGGGTCATGAGGCCATTTTATGGCACTCGTGTGTTTAATTAGGAAAATCCTCTTTATCTTAGTAACCCGCGAACGCAAGCTGTTTCTAAAGGCAGTAAAGAACTACAGAGATCTCAGACGATACCAGTTTATATAAATATTTATTTTTGTTACTCGATATGCAGACGTGTGCGAAAGGCTCCATTTGTGCTCTGGACAGCTGGATTGGATCCTCGATACATTTCGACATTCAACTTCGCCATTAATGATATAAGCTATTTTAGCTTTTATTTAGGATAGGGTATTCTGTAAAAGTTGATTCTTGGGAATCTCTTATTTGAAATAATTTGTATTTTTTATATTTCTTGTGGAGACTAGCCTATGAGACGTCTGAAATCAAAATTAGGCTACACAGGATTTTTGATGGCAGTAATATGTAAATTTTCTTTTTAATGTTCATTTTAAAATCTTAAATCCGCTTGAAATCGGAGGAAACGTTAAACAGAACCAAATGCAATTCGCAATTCTCACGGTGGGCAATTTTTTATATATATATATTTTTTTACTTGAACCTTTTCTTATTTAGAATTGTGATAATGATGGATTGTAATATATTTAATAGTATGGTAAGTATATTTACAAAGAGATGCTGCACTCACTTAAATGTTTTTATATCGTAATAAATATTGTTCTTACATGCATACATATCGTCTTGTATTTATTGACATGTTTAGTTTTAGGCCTATTTAATTTTTTTCCACATTCTCTCATAATTTGCTGTTCAATCGAAACGGAATTGACGTTCTATTTTAACATTAATTTGTATCATTTCGCTGTGTGTGAACTGGTTTATGACGGAGCCAAACGGGGCCCATATGACGGAAAACAGGCACATCCGTTTTTATCCTGGTGTAGGCCGCTTTTGTCCTTTGTTATTGGATTAATGCGCCTTTTTGTTTATGTAGGCTACCATAACAATCCAGATAAATTATTTGATAACATGGGCTTCGTAATGAATTTTAGTAGTTCCTCTCTGTTACCGTGTTTGGGAACCAGTAAATCTTCTTCACAGTTATGTGACGAGACAGTCATAACATGATGATGACGCCTCCTATCTGTGAGCAGAAATAACAACCTTTTCTAGTCTCTCATTGGCTGTGACGGTGCGGGGGGTGCATTAACAGTCACCCATTGGCCATTGGTAAAATAAATTAAGAAATGTGTATTTGGCTACTCTCAGGGCCAAATACAGGCCCTGGAAGGTTTTGCTTTGCTTTATGGCAACAGTGCCCGTTTGCTGGGACTACATGGCCTCTTACTTAGTTTTGCTGTATTTAAATAGTTCAAAATAGGCAATACATTTTCATTAAAATGTAACTTTTAAGCAGATTCCATCATAGAAGATCCAATCCCTGATATGTGTTAATTATATAGTAGGCTATTTATACATTTCATACACAAAGACAAAGTCCATTTAAGTACATACACATTAAGTAACTTTTAAATAAGTTTATTTGTAAACAAATGAAAAAAATAATATTAAGGAGCATTAACTGACATATAGATAATCATTGCATTGCTTTTTTTGAACTGAATGCTCATTTTCAATAATAATTCTTATTAACATTTAAATAAATATTTTTTAAATAAGAAAAAATTAATTAATGCATGTATATGCATCAATGTTTAGACATTTATATATATATTTATAAGCAGGGTTATTATAGTTTACTATATAGACACTAACCAAAACTAAACTATTAAAAATAACAAAAACTCAAAATTACTAAAACTAACTAAAATGAAAAATATAAAAACAAATTCAAAACATAAAAAAAACTATAATAGTATGTAATTGATACTAAAATAACACTGGTAATGTGTGTGTAAATCTCCCAGTAATACAATTAATAGCACTTTTAGTTATGTGATTGTTATTATTAATAACAAAGGAAACTTATATAATTATATAATCCACTTGATGATTAGCAAATTGCTAGAATAATCACTGCATCATGGCCTATCTCAAGTATGTGCCATTCAGAGCAGCATGCTGTTATCCACCCTCTGGAGAATGTGAAAAATGAAGGTTTTCAGGCGGTCTGAATTATGTTTAGAAGTGAACTCTCTTACGACCGGCTTGAGGGAGTGTCTTCATGTACTCCGCCTAGTGTGAGTGCAGAACATGTGTAGACAGACAGGAACAACTCACACATGTCACACAGCCTCAATTACAGTAGCACGCTCTGATCTGGGCTATACTTGAAAACATAGTCACATGGTTTGAAAAGGAAAAAAAAAAGCAAGAAGGAGGAGGAAGTTAGGACCGGATAGCAGCATGCTTACCTGGCAGAGTTTTAGTCTCATGAATTTACCTGACACTTCTGTGCTCTTGGGCACCTGTTGGAGGAACTGACTTGGCCAGTGAGGCCCGCATAAAGGACATGACCCAGAACGGCACTGTAGCCGGCAATGGCACTCAAGCTGATGCACTCAAAATCGTGATCGTCGGAGATGGAGGTTGTGGAAAGACATCCCTGCTAATGGTGTACGCCAAAGGAGATTTCCCTGAGGTGAGATTTTAGATACTTGACAGTTTTTTTTGTGTGTGAGTACAGCAGATTTGCTTCAATTCCAAAGACTAGAAAGTCACAGAAATAACCATTAACACACATTTGAAACTCTGAAACATGTAGAGTTTCAGAGAAGGAAATATTGCAAAATGTATAACAGTCTTTTTTTTTTTTTACACAATATCCTCAGCAAGTTTTTCCACTCCCAGACAGCAATTCTGGTTTCTGCCTACGCCTTGATTGTAATGTGTATTGTAGAAACAAGAACTTTTCATGCACCATTATATTCCTGTACTTGTCTGATTTGATCTTGATGTTCAACAGAAATACGCTCCATCTGTGTTCGACAAATATGTCACCACTGTGTCTTATGGAGGAAAAGACATTCAGTTGAATCTCTATGATACAGCAGGTAAGTGTCAACATCCACCCTATCTGACACGAGACACACCTTAGATTCCAAGCCTCATTCTCTTTAGTGACATGCTTCATTGATTAAATATGTAGGCAGGAATGTTAAGTACAACATGGGTGTGTGTAGGCCATTAGTAATAGTTTTCAGAGCTGTCATCTCTGAGGTCAGGCAGCACGCACAACTTTGATCATATTTTATGATAAAATACTCTATTTATTCCTAACAGCATTACAGTATTTACTTAAAATTAATTATTTTGGCCATGGCGAAATATTCATATTCTTACTATCACACGGCAGTTTCTAAGCAGGTGCTTATTGGGCCAGAATCAGTCTGCGGATGTGGTGAAACAATCTAAAAGCCATATGCTGAATGTGTAATGCAGTGTGTGTATGAACATTGTATGTATTTCATGCAAATTTAAATCATTTAATTATTTACATTTAGTACTTCATCATCATCCAGTGTTCTAAAGAATGGGGTCAGTAAGGTTTATTTGAAAAACTAAATAAATGATTACTTTTATTCAGCAAGGATGCATTCAATTGATTAAAAGTGACAAATAAAGACATTTATAATGTTACAAAAGATTTCTAATTAAAATCAGTTCTGTTCTTTTGAACTTTCTATTCATCAAAGAATCTTGAAAAAAAATAAAAAAGATCCGTTTTCTACTAAAAATCTTAAGCAACACGACTGTTTTCTACATTGATAATAATAAGGAATGTTTCTTTGAGTACCAATTCAGAAAATTAGAATAATTTCTGAAGGATCATGTGACTGAAGACTGGAGTAATTTTGTTTTATTTTTGAAGCTCCAAATTTGTAGAAGATAGGTATTTGAGTTCATATTTGATCATATTCTAGTAGTTAAAACATTTAAGAACTGTACATTGAGAATCTACAGGACATATTTTTATGAATCTATATACCATAGAATAAGGAAGTGTCATTTTTTATGAATCACACTAATCATCAGACGTTTTATAGCTTATTTGAAAACACACATCAAAATACTGAATATTGCGGTATTGATCTAATCTTCCTCGCATTTACTTCCAGTGAACCCCTAACGTCTATACAAGCCGAATTTTTCCATGGTCAATTCTGTAAAGTATGAAGTATTATATGAATTGAATGACATTTTCCGTAATTGAGCTGCTTATCAGGCTCACACTGCTGCCCGGACCTTCTCTGCCTCTCTGGAACAGGATGTTGAAGTCAGGATGTGGTTTTCTACCACATCTCGGTTCTTCATCGAAATACACTGTTCATTTAATACGACATACATGCTCTATATATGGTCAGATGTCTCCGCCTCTGCTTGAATGACTTGTTGTCTATATCACCATAGAAACACTCTAGATAATGTAGTACTTTATTTTAGGTTTCAGTGTGTGGTAAAATGACATGTCATTTCCTTCTAACCAAAATCTGTTTATTGACAGGCCAGGAGGACTATGATCGCCTGAGGCCTCTGTCGTATCAAGAAGTAAACCTTGTTATCATCTGCTACGATGTGACCAATCCAACATCATTCGACAATGTCACAATAAAGGTGAAATCAGCTGGGAATGAAACCGTTTACCGATGAAAGTCTGTTTTAACGTTGTTTGCTGGCAACTGTGAGCTGATAAACTTTGACCTGGTGTGTAGATGATTATACAGATGGATCACCACTGAAAACAAACAGTATTTCTGGAACCTTTCTGTCATGTCAGCTGAGAGGAATGTGCCGAGCCCTGTTTAAATAAAGGCACAGCAAAGGGACTGTTCATTCAGGGCCTAAAGATAGAGACAGTACACCATTAGAGCATTGAGGAAGACCAGAACAAGTATTTACATAAAAGAAGAAGTTCTGTTTTGAGCAATGTTTTCCTCTCCTCCTACAGTGGTACCCAGAGGTCCATCATTTCTGCCGTGACGTCCCCATTATCTTGATAGGGTGCAAAACGGACCTGCGAAAAGACAAGGAGAAGACAAGGAAGCTCAAAGCCTTAGATATGGCGCCCATCACCTACACCCAGGTTGCCATTATATTTACATATACCTATATACAGTGCTTGACTTTTTTTTTTTTTGCTCATCAGCCACTGTGGCTAGTGGTTTTCCAAAGTTTCTAGCCACTCAGCATTTTCACTGGCCACATTTTTGACATCGGATACCATGGGGAAAAACTGCCATAGAGATATTTTTAATATTATCGCATAATTTGGCAGCAGGTATATTAGGCAGCTGTCACTTTAAGACCTGACGCACGGATCCATTATACTGTTACACATGCGCTTTCTTTCTCAACTGTTTACGTTCACTTAAACATAACTGACTGTGTTTACGTGAATATTCGGCGAGACCGGCATTTTGATGTTATTTTGTGTGTATTTGACTGTTAAAGCGCAATAAGCAGCGAAAAAGAGTTTAATTTAGTACGGAGAGGCGGCTTTATCTGCGCAACCTTTGGATGTGAGCACAAAATCTGCGGGAATGAGTAAAATTATGTGCAATACACGCAATCCCATGCAGAAATTCAAGCCCTGAAACACCAACAATATTCATCCAGGTTTGTGTCAACTCACTGTCGGAGAGATGAGAGAGCAAGAAAGCGCATCTGGTATCGTGTTTATGGTCTGCGGTAAATGACTATTGGAAGCGTTTCAGATATTTCAGGATTGAAATGTATTTAAAAATCTATATTTTTGACAACACGCCATTTTAAAAAACTACAGTTGAAAAATTTATATGTTTTATACAAAATTCAACCCGCCAAAGTGGCTAATAGGAGTGCTGCTTTACACACCACTGAAATCCACCCGCATTTGGCGGGTTGGCGGGTGTTAAAGTCAAGCCCTGACTATATATATATAATATAGGACTTTGTGTGTGTCATATAAGTTTTGCTGCTTAATATTTTTGTGGAAACCAAGATACTTTTTTTCAGAAAATTCTGAAGAACAACTCATTTAAAACCGAAATCATTTGTAGCAATATAAATATCTTTGCTTTTTACATTGTTGTCGAGGTGCTTGTGATGTTTATAGTTTTAATACTTTATGGACTAACCAGGTAATGAGATCAGGCTTTGCCACATAAATTCATATAAAACAGGTTGATTCACAGAGCTTTTGTCATTTGCTTTGTTTGGTTGTGTTTTATTGGGGGTGTGAGCTTAAAAGTTATGGTTAGTAATGGAAGTCCTGAGTAACTAACCTTCATTTCTCTTTCTTAGGGTGAAAAGATCCAGAAGGAATTGAACGCTGATGTATACCTGGAGTGTTCGGCTAAATATAGAGAAAACGTTGAGGACATTTTCAGAGAAGCGACCAAGCGAGCGCTAGCGGCCAGGGCTAAAGCAAGACACCTCCAGAAGAAGAGGAATCGCTGTACCATCCTGTGACCATTCCTGAAAGAAATAGATTTCGTTCAAGTTTTGTATATATGAACTATGATATATTGTAAACATTCTGGAATCATCTGCAAAGCTTCTCAGAATCGTTTAAGCTTCCTCGAAGGAATATTTTTTCGGGACATTGTCTCACAAGCTTCCCACCAAGCAAGGCTTACCGGTCTGCACCACATTCTTCCAACTGATGATAAGACTTAATGGAATTTTGTCTTTCATGATCGTGGATCCAATAGAAGATGGACAAACTGCTGCTGATGTCTCAGGGATGACCATATACATCTCATAGGTTCACATTGGAAGTTTGGTTACAGTCTGTTGTGCACTGTTGTATAATATTGGTGTACTGTTGTAACGCACAACTGGCTCAAGTAACTGCCATTATTATGCACTCGGGTGTACATGGTTCTATTGTGTAATTCATGTTATCTACTTACACAATAGTTGCATTTACAATAGTTAATTTAAAACTTTTTGAGTTACAGTACTTTTTTTCTTGGTGTGAACGGGCCTTAAAGTCCCCATGAAATCAAAAGTTTTTTGGCTTTTAGAATGAAGATGTTCGCCTTATTGTTAGCTATAGCTAGCTGTTATCTATTATCTGTTATCTATAGCTAGTGTGCTTCAAAACAATCAATGACATTAGCATTCAAAACTTACAGTCTCTCACTTTCGCAAATATGGATCAATGATTTTGATGAGATCACTCTGCACTTCAACTTCTCATCAGATTTTCTGTCCAATGAAATGCTCTCTAGAATCCAAAGTGTCCGGCCCCGTACATTTTAAATAGAAGCTGAAACTTGGTCAATTGTTCACACACTTACTATTTTCTACATGCTGAATGGCACATATATAGGGGATAGGGTACGGTTCAGACAGTGTAAATATGCTTTCCATTGGGACGAATGAAGTCTGGTTTCACGTCATTGTCACGCGAAACTCCGCAGCTCCGGTCCAGAGACACCATAGCACAGAGCGGATCTTACTGTGGACCCACCATTTTAACTGGAATCACACTTTTTGTTTATTTCAGTACAGGGATTATTTACTATCTTTAACATAGATGCCAGAAAGTGTTGAATCATTTATGTGGAAACAATTTGTCTGTTCCACCCTGTGTGTAGATTGCACAAATAAACCGGTGCTTTAAGTTATATATTGTGTAGGCCTATGCCTTTTCGCCTACTGAAGGAAATTGTGTCTGAAACAGGATTCACTATTAAAATTGTATAGCTCTTTTATAGCCGAGTATTCATTTCATTGGCGCTGATACTGTTCATTTTGCATGATGCAATTTTCAGATTTTAGGCAGACATATGTAGAAAATCTCTGCCTGGTTTGCAAAACAAACTTGGTCAGAATACAAAAGTGATCTTGTTGTGGTTAGTATAAAAACTCGTGCCTAGCAGGATGCGACTGCGGTAACGGAAGTCTCCAAATATTGCCGTGTGTCACAGCTACAAAGCTAAAGATTGAAATGTTAATGATCGATGTTCATTTATTTTGATGCGCTTTGTACGCTTTTATTAATTTTACAAGTCATTGAAGCTACTCTTCAAGGTGTTGTAAGTTAATTGTTTACATAAATTATTTATAATTATATAAATATAATTTATTGTTTTATATAGGCTATTGTATTCAAATACAGTATGTTATTTATAAGAAGGCCACAAATATAATAATAAAAAAAGTAATGAATTACAATAACTGGTCACAAATATGATTATAGAAATACTATTAAAAGAATTAGTAAACATTAATAAAGCTTTAACATTGGACGGAGTTTTATTTTAAAAGTTTTATAAGCAATTGCAACAATTCTGCCAAATTCAACAACACGCCCCCTTTCCACAACCTCGCTCTTCAAAACATGTCATCCACCCACTATCAGGAAACCGAACAGGCAAAAGGACTGAACAAAAGAAATGCATTCTGATTGGCTAACATGTCCCGGGCCCCTTTCCTGCTGGTTAATGTGTCATAGAGACACATGTGATTGATTTTCCACATCTTGTTTAGTCAGGTAATAGGGGTAAATTATGTTGTTTGAAAGTTTTTTTTTATTGTGGTTTTCTAAGTAAAGGAATGAATAAAAAGTAGATAAGAAAAAAATAGCATCATTTATTTTACCGACATTTAACAAGTCCTAAATATAGACGTACACGCGTCACACTTGCGCCCTCTGCAGTTGAAGTTGTAAATAATAGTATTTTTACACGAGGCCACACAGATTCCATCAGATTTAATTTATTTGCTCTGCAGCAACAGAAGGTCAAAAGAAATCCCTTTTTCCCCCTCCAGTCTGAAGGCTTATTTTAAGTTCAAGCAAAAAAAAAAGAAAAAAGTGCAGTTATTTTGTTCAACACAAGCACTGATGAAATGACATTGTGAATAGTGACAACTGTTACACATGATTTAAGGAGTGGTTAATTGTTCAATAAAGCATTTCCCAACATGAGAAATCCCTGTAATTACAGCTTTTTGCTTCAGTTACAATTCACGTGTTCCTATGAAACTTGTAACACTAGTGTTCTAGGCTAAACTAGTAAATCAGGTGTGAACAGACAAAGGAGACCATTAAGGCCAACAAATCATCCAGTAACCAAATGCAACTTCTTTCACTACTTGCTTGTGTAATATAACGTAGGAAGAAGGTCTTGTCAGCAAACTCCCTGATGGCAACCAATGAAAGATGTTGGCAAAAAATAATTCTTTTTTCTTTGACACAGTCAGTAAAAGTAACACAGACACATATACCAGCTCGTCCAATTACAGCAGATGTAATCCTAACAGCATTCATTCACATTAAGCAAGACATTGTTCAGAATTTCAACTGTTATTTTGACTTATAATGCAAATGACTATGCCTTTAAATACAACTACCAAACAGGTGGAAATCATGAAACAAAATATAAAGGGATGCTTCTTCTTGATTTAAATATACTATGAAGTGTTACAGAAGCATTATTGCCATCGTTAATAAAATAAATCCACGTTTTCGCGGTATCATGTTGCCTTAATTCAAAAATTTGGCCTCGCTCAATCACCATACTAACAAGCCACAACGTGCAAAACACACCTTTCTTTTCAAGTACCATCGTATCAATTCTTTCCCACAAATACGTAACATATGCTTAGGCTAAAATGTCTTGTAACAGAACAAGTACTTTAATCACTATCCAGCTTTATTAAAAACCATAACAAATCCCTTTGAGATGCTGCAATGAACTGAGCATCTACAGTTCTACAGCCTTCCTGCTGCGTTGCATAAAGTTGAAATGTGGCTTATTGTAAACATATCCATGCACAGGAACAAAACAAACGTGAATCAAAGTCTCCTCATGTACAGTGTCTGAAGGTTGTCAGTGGCTTCTAACCCAAACATTACCCTCTAATTGCTGTGATTGCATAAATAAGAGCAAAAACAACATGGCAGACGATAGGGCAACGTAACGCAATCTTGAGTTTCCACTGCCGCTGTTGAAATAGGTTAAGGCAGACGTCAACATCTACCTTCAAGCCTCTCCAAAAGCTCGTGGGATAGACGAAACAGTTTTGTGCGCTTTCGCAGTTCAGTTCTTTGAGTTCCACACTGGCCTCTCTGCGTATGAAATCTTCCAGTTGGTTTCCCGTTAGTTAGTTTTCACCTTTTCTGTGTTCTTCTGGACCTTCTGGCGGACCACTTTTAGAGTAGTGAGAAAATTTCCCAGGAACAGGACAAGAAACGTCAAGGCCAGCATGAACACCTGGAAGATAATTGAAGTAAAGCTTTAAATGTTTGCATGATTTCTGTAAAACATAAAAGTGTACCAAATCCTGTGTAATGGGTGGCTAAGGTGTTCATAGTGGTTCCTAGCATGTTGCTAAATGGCTGTTAGGGTGTCCAGGGTGGTTTCACAAGATGAAATATAAGACCCCACAGATAATTTATTACAGCTTGTCAAAAACACACAGGTTTGGGGTGTGTCCCTTTAAATGCAAATGAGCATTTCCCCCCTCCCCTTTCCAGAAGAGGGCGGGGCTTTAAAAGCTTGTGTTTCGGATACTCCGGCAACAACAAAACTGGAGAATGACAGAAATTGTCAGTGGCGGTGCTCGGCCTTATGTGTTCGAACCGGAGGCGGACACTGATGGAGACTCAGTTACAACTTTTAGAAATGCAACTGGACGATTCTGATTGGTTAGTGGATACATTTATGTAGTTGTTGTGGAGTTAACAACTAGCATGCGCCGTCATGTTAATCTAAAAATCTTTCAGAAATAACTTTGGTGCAAATCCAGCGTTGAACTGAAGCAGTCCGGCGTAAAATGATTTGCGCAAATGTATAACGCTTTAATAACTTTCTTCGCCACATTTCCATTCAACCACCGGGAGTCTATGGAGACTCTTATGTAAGTTGGTCTATCCAATAACAGACCATTATTAATGTTTTTTGGTGCAGACGTTGTATATATTCGGCTGCTACAGCGAGGAAACAGAAATGGTGGACTGCTGCACATATAATTTATGGGGATTATAAAAAAATGGAGTGGGTGGATTACCATTATAGGCTGGTTGTTTACACACACTGTGGACACATCTTACACACACATCTTATTAAAGTGAATTTTGCATAATAGGTCCGCTTTTAGCAGTCATTAATTGGCCCAAGTCTAACGAGCCCATCTTCAAGTCTCTATGATATTCTTAGGACCCTCTTTGAAATGGAGGATTTTTTCCCCCACCAGTTACATAATTTACTGGATTAAAATGGTTCTTTAAATTTCCTAGGTAAATAGCACACCTCGCCTCAATAAACAACACGATTTGAAGTATAACAGTGCAGAAGATTAACACTTGGGGTTTTGAGCAATAATCTCTTTACCTGCCATTCCTTGCAGTCATCACGGGCAGACAGGTTAAAAAGGGACACAGCGTTGTACAGCTGCCAAAACTGACCAGAGGACAGAAAAGCAACACAAATATCTTATACAATATGCCGGTCTGTGACCTGAATCAATACACCAGTGTTCAATAGGTAAGGTCGGTGAGATTTTTTACTGTTTTAGAAAGAAGCTCACCAAGGCTGCATTAATTCGATCAAAAATATTGTAAAAACGGTAATTTTGTGAAGTATTACTGCAACATATTATTACCCCAGTCTTCAA